CCGGTTGTTAGTAACCAGGTGATAAATCCTTTTTTTTTTTTGGTTTCTGGGGCATTATTAAATGACGTCAAGCGAATTGAATGAGAATGTTCTTTGTTTCTTCAGGTACAACATTCAATCATTGACATGCGTCCTCAACAGAAAATGGCTGAGTTGTGCCAGCTCACTGGAGTTAAACTTATAACGTCTCTTTCTGTCTCTCTTTCACAAATAACTTATAGCAATTGTTATTGAAACTCCACTTCATGCATTCACTTGGTTAATTTTTCAAACTACAAATATTAGCATTTTTTGTATAATTCCTTAGATACTTATATTTCTCCTTAAAATAATTTATCAATTGAAATATTACTTTTTAGTCATAGTTTCTGCAGCTTGACTCGACAAAGTGAATGCTAATACAGGAAGCTTGTAATCATTTATGCATATGCGTACGCGGTCATTCATAAATGTCTGCATAATATGCTTCTATTGGTTACTTAGATGCTTGACGTCCTATTGTCCTAGTGCCAGTATTATAATATTCTCATTTCTTAACCGTGCTCTTGAGCATCTAACGACTCTAATCAATGTTGTGAATTTCGGCATGAAATTTAAAATGCTCCTATAGCAATACGCTGTAAACATTGTTGTATCTTGAGCTGCACTTAGCATTCTCACATTGTCTGCAATCCTGATATTGCATTTATGTGCAGGTATGGTACCGTGATGGGTGGACTATTATCCGAAAAGTTTCTTGATACAAACTTGTCTATTCCTTTTGCCGGCCCGCCATTAAATACTCCTTCACTGCAGAAGTACAAAAGGGTGAGTCTTCTAAATAGCGCATATCAAACCGAAAATGATTTGAATGTTTGTTGCTGTTTTTTTATAGAATTTCTTAGGAATTTAAAATGTCATAAAAGGTTCCAAGCATCTAAATCCTGAAAGCAAATAAATTAACGCTGTCAAACTTATAGATCCTCGAAATGTAAAGTACAATCTACAACAATAATAAATCAACCCATTCAATTACAAAATCATAACCTATTCTTAAAAATCTCAAATTCCAACCAAAATAAGTACAATAACGGATAGATTTCCAAAATAATAAAGAAAAATTATTGTATTCTTTCTTCGGGTTGTCCAAGGAAACTTGCCACTAACTTAAAATTTCTAGGCATCTAAAAAAATGACAAATACACCAGTAAATAAGTGATCCATAGCATTCTTCTACCAAAATACAATTGTCAGTTGGGCATACCTAAACTTTTTGAGCAGATCAAGGATGAAACAAAAATCTTAAATGCATTATTCTAAAATAAAATTTATCGATGTAGCAGATTTTGAATACATTAACTAACTAAAAGAATTCGAGAAATAGCATAGAGCTTCATCAGAAACTTTATAAATAGCTCATACAGTATGTTATGCTCGAGTCTCATCATTGCAGAATCATGTTATCATACGAGCTTCTAGTCAGGATCAAAGCATATGAACCCTTGACCTCGAAGGACAAATGACCATAGAGTACGTAAAAAGAAGAGACAGAAATAGTTTAGAACTTGGTCAAATAGATAAAGAGTCAAACAGGAGTAATCATATGGTAATCTGTTCTTACTGTTTAGTTCGTTGTCCATCTCTATCTATTAAAGTTCATTAAACCTTGTGGTAAGATCTTTGTGGCAGACTATTCAGAGAGTCAAGAATCTATCATAATTTGGTTGTATCCACTATACGTGTGCAGAAAAACCAGCTTACTATGTTGTGTCAACTAGCGTTATGCATGGAAAGTAACTCGAGCATTAATGTTGCCGAGGGAACCAGTCACTATATTCATATTTGAGTAACAAATTGTGTATGAAAAATATATGCAGATGGTTGATGCTTGGGGAGGATGGAGTCAATTCCAAGTTTTGCTTCAGACCCTGAAGAAAGTAGCTTCAAAACACAGCGTTTCCATTCCAACAGTAGCTGTGAAATACATCCTCGACCAGGTAAGAAAAAATATATCTTAGTGTTAGCTATATGTACTTCTTTTTGTTATCTCGGATTCATTTTGATCAGCTATTTGCAATATTGCAGCCAGCTGTGGCAGGGTCGATGGTAGGTGTTAGGCTTGGTCTATCGGAACACATTAAAGCCACAAATGCCGTGTTTTCTCTTGTTCTTGATGAAGAAGATGTAAGCAGCATACAAGAAATTTCCAAGAGAGGCAAAAATCTTCTGAATGTAATTGGTGACTGTGGAGATGAATATAGGCGCTGATTACATTGTCCAAATCTTGTTAATTTCATCGCTTCATATTTATACCAGAGAAGATGTATTATATATTGAGAAAATTGCATGGAGAGACCTTTTTTTTATTGATTCGACTGCCACTCTAAATTAAATAATAGCTTTTTTGCACGAGTTTATTAATTGTTCGCTTCATTTTCCACCCTGAAATCCCTACACTTGCTTCTCAAAAACCATAGACCATGTAAAGCTCGACTTGTGTAGTTCAACTTCTAACTACTAAAAAGTTCATCCACCAATTTGAAACCAAAGTAAATAAAAAAGAAAGAAAGAAAGAAAAGATGAATGACTAAATTGAAATAGAACCCAAAGCTTGATGACTAAGTTTTTAAAAAGAATGATAATATTTTCTTAGGGATCGAAGTGAAAAGAAAGTGAAAGGTTAGGGACAACTACCTCAAATTAGCTATTAATTCCGTGGTCCAACCTTAACTCATACAAAACGTAGGAAAAAGTAGGACTGGGCCAAAAAAACCGCAGCCTACTAAACCGACCCGACTCGACTCGTATTGGGTCCGGTCGGTTTTAAAATTATTTTGGGTTGGGTCGAGTGAAACAATTTTAAAATGGGAACAATACATAACTCTTAGTTTTAAAAATTACATTTCATAAATAACAAACTCGTTAAAATATTTCAAAAATCAGGTGGTAAATAAATTTATTAAATATTAAAATATAATATAATATATATTAATTATTTACACACCATGACACCTCACCCACCCCACAACACCACCTTCCCTCCATCTCCAGCACCTGCTTTGACGACGGNAATATAATATATATTAATTATTTCTATCATGCCACCTCACATACCACATTCTATCACCCTACTACACCACTTTCCCTCCACCGGAGACGGCAATCAGCTCCGGCGATCACTCCGGCGGCCTCTCCGATGACTTCTCTGATGGTCGCACCCGCGACTTCTTCGGCAGTCACTCTGGTAACTGTTCCGGCGGCCACTCCAACAACTGTTCGGCGGCCGCTCAGATGATTCAAAGATTTCCAGAAAATTTAAAATTAAAAATCACACCTCCACCCCCATGGATCCACCTACCATCACCCCATTCCTACCTCCACCTCCACCTCCTAAAAAATTATCGAAAAAAAAAAATTGTGTTCGGTGTGACTAATTGTGACCAAGTGTGTATTCAATGTGACTAATTGTGATCAAATTTGTGTTGAGTGTGACTATCTATGATTAGGTCAATCTCAAGTCACAATCAACATAAAATCGATCACAATCGGTCACAATCAAACGACTGAGAAGGAACTAACTTTACCACCAACACAATC